CCCCAAAACCCCAAAACCCCAAAACCCCAAAACCCCTCTTCATTTATTATCATTTGAAAACTAATGGAAGCAACCATAAAGTTTCTAGTATAGTGGGATATTTCTGAAACCGTGATAGGACTTAAAATGAGGGAAATAGGAGAAATCTGTTCATTAGTGCTTTTAAGAGTTCAAAATTTTTGGAGATTTTTGCATAAATTTTAAAGATATTGAAAATATGAGGAATCTTAATCAATTTCACAGGATGGGTTTAATTAGTCAAGCTCTGATTCTTCACGTGTTTTTGAGTGCTTAAATGGGCTTATATCTTCAGTATCTAATTGCTTGCTAATTGATTTATTCTTATCCGGATCATATGAGGGAAACTTTTTTGTTGTATCAAATTTTTGATCTCATTCATCCTCCTCCCTATAATTTAATGTCTCAAAAAATTCTGAAAATATTTATACCCTCAAGCAGTGCTATACTTATCAGTGTAAACTTTGAATTTAGCAATCACAGGTCGATGATCACTAAATAAACTTTCTCTCCTCTCATAACTGACTGGGATTCACTATAAAATTATCACAATTTGATAAAAATAATATTTTGCACTAAAGAAATTTAGGCTGACTATAAAAAGATACCTTATGATTTCCGACAATCCCTTTCTACAGCAGAGCTTAAAAGTAAAGAAATTTTGAAACAAAAGTAGCTCACGTAGTTTTCTATTTCTTCGTTTTCTCCATCCTTCTCACGCCAAAGTATTCGGTCACACCAAGAAGGCACCCTCATCTTATCAGAAGTATCATAGATGTCTGATTCTTTATCGTATTTATAGGTAGGAAGAAAGTCAACTTTCATTTCCTTATATTCCTTCAGCCATGGAAAATCATTAGTCAGGAGGGAAAGCTGGTCTCGGTTGAACAGAAATTGTATAGTTTCCTGCTTATTTTCATCATTTATTCCATTTAGAAGTTCAATAGTTTCCTCATAAGGATGCTGAACTCTGAAGTTAAGATCTCCCATAAAGAACTGGACTTGGTGCTTGTTAAATGAGTTATCCCTGTCATAATTTTCAAAAGCTAGTTCAGTAATATCATACCAATGCTTGACTCTTTTATGGTATTTTTCCTTCCCACTCTGTAAATGTCATCAGGCTCAGACAATAGAAGTTCTGTTAAGTAAGAATCTAATCAGGACTGCTCCTTTATTTCCAATTGTTCTTCCAAATCCAAGAGGAACTTGGGATTTATCGATATTACTAATCTTGTCAAAAATATTGCTATTTGCAGACTGCAAGCAGGAGAAGTCCCATCATTCATTCAAAAGTAAAAACAGTATATTCCTCATCATAAAGAATCTTAAGATCTTCTATAGAGATTTTGAGAGGAAGGTCTTACCCGTAATTCTATCACCAAAATCATTAATTTGATATTTTCCTAAGCCGTTCAACATACTCATGATTCCTAGCTGCACAACTTCTTGGAACCCAAGGAAGAGAATATCAGGAGACTCTGTGTTATCTTTCCATTGTAAAAACTTTCCAAAATCTAGATAAATTACCATTTTAGATGTACCTTCTTCAGGGGGTAATTGGCCAGCTCAGTTCCAAGTGAAAGCTACTACATTAAACTGCTCCTTCTCTAAGTCTCCTAAATGGGAAGTTATTTACAAGTTGGTGGTAATTTGCGAATTATGGAAGCAATCTAAAAGAAGATGGACAATATATTAAGATCACTAAACAAATAAATGCACTCCTACTTAAACAGTGACAGTTAAGCTAAAATTTCTCTAACAATAATCTATTGTGCTTGGTTAATCCACCCACCAAAATCTTTATCGTCTTTCTCCATTATCACTAATTCTAAAATTATGTTTTTATTTAGGAATATGGGGTTTTGGGGTTTTGGGGTTTTGGGGTAATTTGGGGATATTGAAGTTTGGGGCTGTCTAAGGGAAGTTTTGGGAAGAAATTTGGTGGGGGTTTAGAGACTGGATGTAAAAAATCTGGGTTATGGGTTGTTTTGGATGTTTTGTCATTAGAATTGCATTCAATTGAGTGCCTCTGTGAAGATAGAAAGGATATATTGTTCTAATTTCAGAATTAGAGTATTTTATCTATATTAATAAATCAGATCAGTGACTCGTCAGTTAAAGGACTAAATAGGCCTAAATTCTAGATTATATTATTTAAAACACTTTCGATTCTACTAATTCCCTCTTAAACCAATTCTTCAACCTAATTAAATTCAAGAAATATGTGTTAGTTTTTATTGTTTCATTATTGAGCTGAAATAACAAAAGGTTCATCAAAAGCTGCTCTTTTCTAAAATTGATATTCTCTAGATATTTTCTCACTTTAACTGCACATAATTCGAATGATAGTTGAAAAATTAAAAAGCAGGACCAAAATACATTCGTCAGAACATTTTTATGATAAGTACAACACTTCTTTTATTCAAAAGCACTGCCATCGTCTTGTCCATCATCTCCTTCTTCATCTGGCCATCCTTCCCCATCATCATACAAAGCTTCTTCCTCTATAAATCCCATTTAGCCCATCTTCTCCTCTCAAAGCCCAATTTCCAATCCTTCTCACCCAAAATCCCCCAAAATCTCCACACAAAAATCCCTGAATTTCTCCCAAATCTCCAAAAATCTTGATCCACGCCCAAAACCCCAAGCCAGGATCAACATTTATCCTTCCACAGCTGAGCCAGCCGTGGCTTCCTGCTCTAAAACAGTTAAAAAAATTCAGATTTCTATTATTTTGCAGTAAAGTTCGAGAGGGTGGTACCTTTGGTGAGTTCAGCAGCTTGTTCTGTAGGGAAATGTTAGGTGGAAGGGAGAATGGGGTTACCTGGATTCTCTTCTTTGAGGTCTTGTAGCTGTTTTTCGTTTTCTAGTGGGGTTGAGGAGCAATTTACCTTCGATTACTTTAGCAAGATCGTCTTTTTCGGATTGGATTTTTGCATTTTCCTCCCTCATTTGTTCGATTTCTTGTTGTAAACGAGTTCCTGAAAGGTGATATTAGAAGTTACCTTCATCTTTTACTTGCTTTAATTGGTCAAGCACTTGGTTCATCAGATCGTCTTGGGTATCCATTTTAATTTATTTTTATTAAGAAATGCATTTAGATAGGGGTTTTGGGGTTTTGGGGTTTTGGGG